CTCTCTCTATCTCATTCTCTCTCTCAAATAAATAAATAAAATCTTTAAAAAAAAAAAAAAAGAAAAGAGAGTGAAGGTCAAAGACACAAATTCTAGGGGTGCCTGGCTGGCTCAGTCGTTGAGCGTCTGCCTTCAGCTCGGGTCATGATCTCGGGATCCTGGGATCGAGCCCCATGTTGGGCTCCCTGCTCAGCGGGGAGTCTGCTTCTCTTCTCCCTCTACCCCTACCCCCGCCCCACCCCCACTTGTGCTCTCTCGCAAATAAATAAAATCTTAAAAAAAAAAAAAAAGACACAAATTCTAGGCATGGACAATGTTGGCTTTCCTACTCCTGAAGAAAAAGGTGAAAAAAAGACCTCATGTTGGCTTAATCAGAAAGATGCAGTATACTTTTAATAAATCATCCCTGAACAAAAGGATTCATGGCACCGAGAAAGTGCCTATGTGCCTACGAAGACCTACTTACATGCTCCTTGTTGTAAGGTATCTCATAGTGTCGTGTTTAATTTAGTTGCCAAATGGATATAATTTTGAAATGTTAGGTATTAATTTAAAAATAATTTGGAGTCTTATTAGTTGCAAAAATCATGTCATAACTTCAAGAACAAAATTTGGTATCTACTAGAAAGATTATCTCTGTAACATGGGAAATAGTGTGCTAGCTCAGTGGTTCTCAATTATGTGCTTAGAATCACCCGGAGGGATTGTTCAACAGATTTTTCAGTCTCACCCCCAAAGTTCCCGATTCAGTTGATCTGGGGTGGAGCCCAAGAATATACATTTTTAACAAGTTCCAGGTGATGCTGATGCTGCAGGTCTGTGGACTACGCATTTGGGCCATGATTTCCCTGGGGCCCATCCATAGTTGCTCTGTTGATCAGACACTCTGGGTAGAAGAGACCAGTGGGGATGGAGCACCTTGCTCTTCTTTATCCACCCATCTGCAGCTGTAACTGCTCTCAGCTCCCTAAACTCACCGCCAGCTATCCTCCCACAAAAGACCTTCATTACTCTTGTTCTTTGTAACCAAATTAAAAAAAAAATCTGGTTGAAATGTGTGGGTAGAGGTTCTAGAAGACCATGAGAGCCAGAACATCTCGCAAGCACGTTTACAGCAATTATGAACCAAACAGATCATTCCAAAAGATTCAGATAAACTCACGACATCCTGACTTTCTAGAGAAAAAATGTAGTTAATACATACTTTCTGGGAATGATAAACAGAGTGTTAAAAACAAACACACAGGGGCACCTGGGTGGCTCAGTCAGTGAAGCACCTGACTTTGGCTCAGGTCATGATCCCAGGGTCCTGGGATCGAGTCCCGTGTCGGGCTCCCTATTCAGTGGGGAGCCTGCTTCTCCCTCTTTCTCTGCCCCTCCCTCTGTTCATGCTCTCTCTCTCACTCTCTCGCTCAAATAAATAAATAAAATCTTAAAAAAACAAAACCACACAGGACAATCTCCAACTATGGAAAGATGAACAGTGTCATGAGTAAACAGGATTACATCTTAGGCCTTGGGTTGTCCATCTTCTGTATGGAAACTAGTTCTGGGAGCTGCTAAGGACCCTAGGGAAGCAAACTTCAAAAGTTCTGATAGTTCTGTGTTTTTCAACAAAGAGCATTTAAACCAAAACTAGGCTGTCTGGGTTCATCACCTACCGGTTTGATTTCCAGACAGCTGACACCTGGACATGGAGATATACGCAAGTATCATTTCCCTGAAGACTTTAAAAAAAAAATGCAATGCAGATCCCAACGGTCCAAGGCTCACCCCAGCCATTTTCACCCAAGCCCAGTAATAACTGATAACAAAAGGGGCTTATTTGGGAGAGAAACACTTGTTTTAGAATAGCAACGTGCCTTACAAGTCAGTCCTCATTGCCCCAAAGACAAAATAATTGCCCTAAGCCCCCAAATCAAGTATCTGTATTTACATTTGCTAGATCAATTTTCTTTGAAAAATCCTGTCAGCAGCAGTGACATTTCCAATTTAATCATGATTACGTGTCTTCCTATATTTAGTGCTAGGCTTTAAAATTTTTAATTTATTTATTTTGGTAAAGAATACGTAATGTAGGGCTACCATTTAAGCCATGTGTAAGTATACGGTTCTGTGGGATTGAAGGCATTCACCCTGTTGCTCAACCACCACCACCATGTGCCTCAGATTTATTTATTGAATTGATCTTCCCCCAAAATACAATAAAGCTGGAGGTAACATGTGTGGTTAACTGGGGTGTTTTTGCAAATATGGTGTCAAAATAGCAGGATTCTCGTAAGTTCTCTGGAGGAAAGCTAAGTCAAAGTCATCACAAAGGAAGAGCTAGCTACATGACTGAGCTCCGATAGGAGGCTCAACTGTGGGCCCCCAACCTGTCTTTGAAACTGGGGGAAGAGGCAATGACCTGGCACCAGCTGCTGCTTCCAAAATGCCCTCTTTGTCTGAACCCATGCAGACATTACTCCGTGACTACTGCACTCTTTCCTGCTGAATCTCAGAGTCTGTTTTCACGCGATCTTCCAGGCATTATCATAACTAATTACAAGTGGCCCACAGGACAGAACCTACTTCCCTTCTCCATATAGAAAAACGCAAGCCACCTGAGGCAGCAGAAAGTAACCATCATCGGCACTGCTTCTGGGCCAGCTAAAGGCCCAGCGTGGACACGTAAGCATGCGCTGGCAGGCAAGTCTTCAACGTGAAGATGCCACCAGGCACATTCTTTAGCACGGACATCCTCACAAACGGAAATGTTCTTACCTCGGCAGGAACACGCTTTCCACTACATAAAAGTCTTGCATGAGGACATCTCTATCTGGCTTGGAAGTGAGATTCCCCACTGTGTATCCTATTCCCAGTTGAATAGCACCTTTGATAGCAGATGATGCAGTCTGCAAAGAAAACAAGGGTCAAGGTTAACCTCCATGGTCAAGGTCTCGTTCAAGCAGCAAAAATAGGAGACTGAGGTCAGGTGTTCTTTCTTGTCCCTAAGCAACGTGAAGCTGGGTTTGGAAAGACGACAGGATGCTCCTTTCGATGGTGAGTCTAATTCCGAATATTAAGGACCCTTCTTGATATGAAATTATTTTTATGGTAATGTTTCCTACAAATATTTCTTTTTTTTTTTTTTTAGATTTTATTTATTTATTCATGAGAGACAGGGGGAGAGAGAGAGAGAGGCAGAGGCAGAGGGAGAAGCAGGCTCCCTGCTGAGCAGAGAGCCCGATGCGGGACTCGATCCCAGGACCCTGGGATCATGACCTGAGCCGAAAGCAGACGCTTAACCATCTGAGCCACCCAGGCGCCCCCTACAAATATTTCTAAGGTCAAATTACATTCCCAAATCTCCACCTTCCTTTTAGTAAGAACTTAGAAATTTGGTAGGACACTTTCAATACATAACATTTTAATTTCTACCAAAAGAAATGCCACAGTCACGTTTTTTAAAAATCTGAAGCTCTAGAACACACCTATGGGTCACGAAGAGTAGGGTATCTTCGCAAGAAATGAGAGAGCAAAAAGTAATCTGAGTCTGTGAATAAAATTTAATTTGGGAATGGCTTACTGGTGTTGCCATGGATCCATCAGCAAAATTGCCTACACTGATCTGTGTAGCACATAGCACCAGCATACCAATATTTCCAATTTACCACTTTCCCAGTATCATTCCATAATTAAATACACATAATATTAAATTAGGAAATAATGTGTATACATACGTGTGTACATACATATACATACATGTGTATAGTGTGTGTGTGCATAGTTTTAACCAACATAATAGGAGAAACAGCAGAATAACTCCATTTAGGAAAATTAGAAGGCATTCTTCATAATGGTTGTGAAAGTGTGGTCATTTCAGGCAAAGTCAACAAATGATTATCGGGAACCTAGCCCCATGCTAGAGGTGGTTTGTTTGGGGTTCAATCTTGGGTGAGCGAGGATGACCGCACTGTGGGAGAGGTCCCTGGTCTTGGGGGTGGGGTGGAAAGGTTGTACAACATTAGCTTGGTTCTGCATGTCCTTTGTTTGTGATCATGGAACAGCATCCAAACAGGTTTAAAAGGTCTGAGAGTCTTACGCATAGAGACAGTTTTGAAGCCTTTAGAATGGATTATCTCCATATTTAAGGAAATCTGAGGATCAAGGATCAAACTTGAGGTCATGATCAATCAGTACTGACCAGCCACTTCCACTACACAAATGGAAACAACCCCTCTCCCTACGGAGTCATCATCTGGTGGCTTGCTCACCCCACTGCAAATATTACATCACCCCTCATCTGAGGACAACTCCCCACCCTCTTCCCTCCAGGAGGCAGAAGAATGGCTTGTTTTTCTTTATCCCCATGCTCTTTACTTAAGATCCCGGGGCAGCAGGATGGCAAAAGACTTAGCACTCAAGCCCCCAGTGCAACTAGTGCTTCAGAAACAAAAAGTTTGCTATTTTAATTCTCCCTCTCAGAGCTCTGCAATGCTACCAGTTGGCATTAGTGACCTTTTGTACCAAGAGCTCTGACTTCTGAAGGCTGAAATGGATTTTGTTCATTTTAACCTCGCATAAAAATTCCAAAGGCATTCCTTCTCCTATCCATCACTCAGAGCAGTATGGCATAAGATATGACATTAGCACTTTCCAGAGGACCCAACACCCCGAAGCATTCTGTTCTAGACCTATCAACAGAGTCATGTGCTCTCAAAGTGCTTGTCCCTCCCCATCCGCACACCTGACTGCTTTCTGGAACTATCTGTATTTCTACTTATTTCAGTCATCTACTACTCCTTGGGCTGGAACACCTCTCCTACAGATGGAGTACCCAATTTTCTGTTGACTACCCTCCTCCCCGACCCCAGGCAACAGAAGGTGGTCAAAGTAGTAGGAGTCTATATCTGGTATTTTCAAACTTGAGAAAGCATGAGAATCTCTGGGATACTTGTTAAAACAGACTGAAGGCAAAACCACGGAGACAGTAAAAAAAGCCCTGGCTGCCAGGGGCTGGGGGAGGGCTTGCCAGGGGCTGGGGGAAGAAAGGGGGTGCACAGAGGGTTCTCAGGCAGGGAAAATACTCTGTATGACACTGTAATGATGGATACATGTCATTATACATTTGTCTAAACCCACAGAACACCCAAAATCAAGAGTAAACCATAATGGGGGGCACCTGGGTGGCTCAGTCATTAAGCATCTGCCTTCGGCTCAGGTCATGATCCCAGGGTCCTGAGATCGAGCCCCGCATCGGGCTCCTTGCTCGGCGGGAAGCCTGCTTCTCCCTCTGCCCACTCCCCCTGCTTGTGTTCCCTCTCTGGCTGTCTTTCTCTCTGTCAAATAAATAAAAATCTTAAAAAAAAAAGAGTGAAACATATTGGAAACCATGGACTTTGGGGGACTATGATGTGTCAATGCAAGTTCATCAACTGTAGCAAATGCACCACTCTGGTGGGGGATGGTGACAATGGAGAGGCCATGCATGTGTGGGGGACAGGGAGCACATGGAAAACCTCTGTACCTTCTCAATGTTTCTGTTAACCTACAGCTACTCTAAAACAATGGTCTTAAAAAAAAGTCAATGGGCATTGCAAACCAAAGCCAAAACCAAGAACAGATGGATGGGTTACATTTCCAGGCTTTCTGATTCTGGGAGTCTGGGGTGAGGCTCAAGAATTTGCTCTTGTTCTAAGGAGCACCATAAAAATCTTCCTCCCATGGCATAAGATTAAATTTTGAGTTCCCAAAGGAGTAAGATTTTGGAAAGGGCCCCGCTGACATCTGTTTATGTTAAACCCCCAAACAGACTTGCGATCCTACTGCCTTCCTTTCAGGCTCCATAAAATTCAAGAGCTCTGATGGGAGAAACTGTGGAAAGTGTAATACAAGTTACTATTTTTTGGATCAACTCTTTGTGCCAGACACTTGATATACGACCATCACAATCACAAACTAGAGTAATCATAGCACATACTTATAGAGCATTCACTGAATGGCAGGCACTGTTGTAAGTGCTTTTGGTTATTCGAACTCTGTTATCTTCACAAGGACCCTATAAAGTGGGACCCTATAAATTGCTACCTCCATTTTACTGACTCAGGAAGGTTTGGTGACTTACACTGGGTCACACAGCTAGGGGAGACCTGGGATTGGGGACTCATACCTGGGGAGTCTGGCTCCAGATTCCAAGCTATAAGCAACTACACCATGGCCTCTAACTCAAAATCTCTCAACTCATATAATCCTTTCAAGGACCCTTTCAAGCAACAATCACATTTCCAGGTGGGGATTTAAAGCACAACAAGGTTAAGTGACTCGCCCCAGTCGCGTTGCTAGCGCGTGGCAGATTCTCGCTGCAAAGCCCACCCTGTTTGCACATCTGTTTTTTTCTAAAACGAGCCTAGAATCCAAGTCAGAAGGTCCCGTTAAAGTCTGGCTGTTTGACCTCAGCAAAGGAAGTAGCTCCGTGGGGGCCATTCCTTTTGATAAAATAGGGATAAAATGTTTTATTTGCTTCTAGTCTGACCCAGCCATGAGTAAGCCTAGGAAAAGCTGTAAACCACTTGGAAAACCAGTATAAAGACTGGTTAATGTCACTTGTTAAGGTCACTACTAGTAACGTGGGTGGTACAAACATCAGGAGGTATTTTGCTGTTGAGGGAGGGACCACACCTTGAGGTCTCCTCCTCCCCATCTCCATGTAAAATTAACGGCTGTAGCACTGATGCATTTGCGTAGAATTAAAAAGCATCTTGCCTACTTCGTGGAAATGTCTGATCATATTCTGATCATATTCAAGCATGTGGTTTCTTCAGTCACCAGCAGTAAAGGTTCCATCCCCGGAAGTCCTCCCAGGCGACGTGAGGCACGGTGATGGGCGGTGTTGGCGTATTTTCTAACACAGCCACTCTTGAACAAGATGTGTTTTAAAACTCTAAAACTGAAATGTTACTCGGAGTGTCTCTGCTTAGCGATGAGTAAACCATGATGCTGAGGAAGAACCTTCTGTGTGTAGCGCTGGTGGTTGCTCTTCTAGAAGAGTTCTTTCCCTGCCAAATGTGAGCCACAAGCCCTTCTTCCTTCCTTGAGGATACCCACCAACAGACCAGGGAGCCAGTAACAGGTGGATGGCTTCGTACACACCCAGCCTCTCCAGGTTTCCCAGCAAGACTTTGCATAGCTTCTAACAGCGCTGTGACATGACCATTTTTCCCTTCCAACTCCAACAGGGACCTCGGACTCCTTCCAAACATATAGTTCTAGATTTCAGAACACAGCGAAACAGGCTATTTTTAATTCAGGACTTTGCACGGCCTAAGTGGCAGCATGTTGCCTGGATACTAGAAAAACCTCTCAAGCATTTCATACTCAGAGAAAGAACCAGAGAACATCACAAAAGCAAACCACCGACACTTAGTCTCATAGCTCCTCTTTCCTAACGCAAACTTGTGCAGGGATGAGGGTAATACTAAAAGGAGAAATGAAGGTCAGCTTGCGTTTGTGCCATAGGTTCTATTTTTCATTTTTTTTTAAAGATTTTATTTATTTGACAGAGAGAGACACAGTGAGAGAGGGAACACAAGCAGGGGGAGTGGGAGAGGGAGAAGCAGGCTTCCCGCTGAGCAGGGAGCCCGATGCGGGGCTCGATCCCAGGACCCCGGGATCATGACCTGAGCCGAGGGCAGCCGCTTAACCGACTGAGCCACCCAGGCGCCCCAGGTTCTATTTTTCAAAGCACTATCTTTTAATGATTGTATTTTGATCCTCCCAATTGTTATGTATAAGGAGGGTTTATAAAGCCCATTTTATATAGGGGCACTTGGCGGCTCAGTCGGTTAAGCATCCGACTCTTGGTTTTGTCTCATTTCATGGTCTCAGGGTCCTGAGATCGAGTCCCGTGTTGGGC